CTTGTCTACTGTCTTAAACTTCTTTGTCTTACCTACCTGAAACTAAGGAAACTGAGTTACTAGTACCCTTTACAAATTTCTTGTGATTTTAAAGAGAGGCTGGCACATTTCCTTTCCAGGGAATATTTTACGTTATTGACAATAAATCAGTCAGACTTTTTTTCTTTAAACAAAAGAGAAAAATAACATGGAGAAGGGAACTAGAACCTGTAGATTTTAAGATCCGCAGTAATAACTGGAATAGACAGAACAACCTGAAGAGAAAGGTGTGTAACGTTTTTCTATTTAATGTGACTTTGCTTCTATAATGTGATCCTACCCTGGTGCCCTGGTGGATATATTGGTTAAATTTAAATGTATGGACAACTCAAGTTTTTTTTTTTTTTTTTCCCTACTGTTTGAACTTTTAATTTTATAAATGCATAATTTCTTCTATAATAAAGAAACAAGATCTTATTTTTCAATGCAGCAACCAATTTAGCATCTAGACTATGTGTTTTTCATATTATATTAATTTCCATAGTGGTCACATAAACTAGGAAAAAACATTGCATGTTTCTAGGTAACTTATCTTTATTCTACTTCATGCACATCCAGTAATGGAATGCCAAAGGTGTCCCAGCAGTTAACATCAAGCATAGTTTGAACAGTTAGCCCTGACTAAGGGAAGTAGGCATAGATCTTGTAGTTAGCCTCAAATAAATCTCAAATAAAGACAAATAAGCATTTTAAATAATGGCTTAAAATTTATTTTCAGACAGGCCTATGATTGTATTAAATCACAGTTCTCAGGACTAAAATACACCATGTACTTAAAATTATTTTTTAGTAATATTGGGCTTTCAATCTTGTTTCAGAGCCTAGAGGCAACATATTTTTAGATTAAGAAAGACAACTGCATCAGTGTTTGAAGTATAAACACCATACAGCCTATCTTCTGTGATAAAGGAAACAATATGTAACTAATCTATCCCTTTTTCATATTAATCTGATCAAATTTAACAAGATTAAAGAAATTCAGATGTTTAGTTAGAGAAGTGGTACTTGTTCCTGTTTGTTCATCAGCATAATCTATGGAGCTTTAAAAAAGGCAGATTCGTAAGTCCTATTAAATTAGAGTCTTTGTGGTTGAGGCCAGATAGACAGCTGATGCGCAGCCACTGTAGAGAATACTAGTCTATGTACTCCTTTAGGATGTACACACCGGCATGTCCATTAAGGCATTCCTAAACGAAACTGGACAGACTAATGGATACATACTACTTTGAAACGTTTGGACACATTTGGCTAGTACCTATGCCCTGGACTGGATCAGTAAAGTGAGGGATTTAGTGTCATCTTCCCCACCCCCACACCCATGTCTGAAAGCTTTGATTTTTCTCACAGGATCTGCTGATCAATCTACTTACTTAATCACTTTCAGATTCGTTATCTCATATCATTACTATTCACAAGTGAGTGCCCTTATTTAAAATAATCCAGAGATTCTAAATTATGAGCATCTTACAACTTTCTCCCTTATGCCACTTTTCTTATACACATAGTAATGCAACTCCGCTATAAGATTCTTTATGAAAACCTACAAAGTAATCATTTTAGCCATAGACACCACATAGGAATGGACTATGCACGCTGCAGAGCATTATTCCAAGGTGTTTGGAATTTTTAATTCAAGTAATTTCTTTTTGGTTTTTCCTAAAAGGTTTATGTTCTAATAAATCTGTAATTTTCAAGGTACGCTTTTCTAAAGCGGAATGTGTATAAAGTTTTTCCATGTAATACAACTTTACTTCTATAATGTAGTAGATGGAGTATGAATTGTTTGAATCCGAATTTATGGGCAAAATCCTCTACACCAGAATAGACCATTTAAATGCTAGGAAATTGGAGTCTATGACAAATGTTCAGAAATAATATTTTGAACTTAATGATTATGTTAAATGTGTTTTATGAAAGCAGAAAACTATCACTCTTTTATTATCAACTAATATTTCATCAAATTTCATCAGCCCCTATATTCAGATCACCCTAAAATGTGAACTATACATTGATATTGTAAGAAATTTCAAAATATGGATCTCTTGAGAAAAAAGCTACATCTTCAACAAATAATTGAAGACTCCTAAAATCCATTTCCTCCTATATTGGACTTCTGAGATAATTATTTATATTTCAGAAGGTTTTCACAGAAATATATGCCTTCTGCAATTAACAATGAACATCCTCAGAGCTAGGAGTCCCCACATGTTTGATTATCAGGGTCTGAATAAAGGGTTTTCACTATGTGTCTACAGAAGCACATACTTATGTTTAACTCAGTGTATTGAACAACTTTGATCAATAGACACAGGGCCACTTATGGTGTAATGATGGAAATATGTTTTGCATGCAACAAAGGCCCATATTAAAAGGTAAATGTTACAAAGATAATTTGTAGTATAAACGCATCTTTACAACAACTTAGAGCATTCATTTTTGATAAATATACTTTTCTGCATGAAATCGTATTTAAAAGCTAACTTGCAGCAGCAACTTTTTTTGGTGACAATTCAATATTTTGTTCTTTTTGTGGGTGTTCTGTTTGTTTGCAGTCAGATGAGTGAGCCTCATAGCGGTTTGACGCTCAAATGTGCCAAGTGTGGAGTAGTTTCAACAACAGCTTTGTCAGCCACCACCGCCAGTAACGCCATGTTAGTCCCAATCATTTACATCTTCTTGTTACAAATCTTTTAGAGTGCATGTGAGAAAATGCTATGATGAAAAAAAAAATTGTGTTTGCTAATACAAGAGCAGAGAGTATATTTAAATATTTGTAATTAGCAACTGTCTTTATAGCTATTGTGGGATAGTATATAAAAAAATAAATAAGACTCTCAAATGTCATCTGCTTTGTGGTTTCCAAGTTAATGGTCTTGGAACCACATACAAAAATGCTTTGTTGAATGGGGGTTTGGCTATAGCCTGGGGTGTGACGTACAGCTACGTAATGTTGCTTTCTTGGTCTCAACAGGGCGTCTCTTTGGAGCTCCTGTGTGGTGTTGCCCCTTCTGGCTTTGACGTGGATGTCTGCAGTGCTGGCCATGACAGATAAACGCTCCATATTGTTTCAAATACTTTTTGCTGTATTTGATTCATTGCAAGGCTTTGTTATAGTCATGGTCCACTGCATTCTTCGGAGAGAGGTGAGAAGCATTCTTGTGATAGAGAACAGTGATGGTTGGAAGGGTATTTCCTGCTAACAAGAATGATCTTTTAATATCTTGATGTTCAGATTAAAGCTGGTCTCTTCCATTGACAATCACTTGGGAATCAAAGCTGAAGGAATGCTTTAAGAGACAGCTTGGGAGGGCCCCCAGCCCTCTGAAAGTGACAGATTAGAACAGATGGGACTATGACAGGAAAAACAAAACCAGAGGTGTCAAAAGCCAGGGAGAATAGATTTAAGAGGAGCTACATGGAGTGATTTGTATAAATAAGTCTGTTAGAAAAACTAGTGAATAAGAGGGCTTAGAGGCATATGTTTTAAAGACACAGTTCATGAGCATAATGCAGTGATAGTTCTTAAGCTCATTCCCTAACTCATGTTTCTTCATACAGCACACTCTCATTGCATATATTAACTGATACTATTTTAAGTAGAAAACATTGAAGATGAATTCTTAGTTCTTTTGTCTCTCTGCTAAGTTTTGGTTATGATTATGATGGATTATTGCTTTTGATATCGATGTTTACTCTTAGGAAAACACTGAAAATGTATACAGCGAGACATGATAGGCAGTGATTGTCTCCAAGAACTGTAGACGTATTATCATATCAGCATTTTTCTGGATCATGATTGAGGTTCATTGTCAGTAGTAGGAAAAGAAAGAAGTCATATTTCATGAATGGAGACACTAAGCAGCACCAGATCCATCTAGGACAGTAAGAGATTTCAGACTTGAGTTGTTTAGAAATAAAATAGTGTTTTCCAACCTGTGTGAAAATTATTTTGAATGCTTGCAAGCACTGAGAGTATTTACAAGGTTTATGAGTCATTTTAGCATTTACTCTAAGGATGAGTGGTGACAAAAACACACATGATATAGTGCCATGCTAGTCATTTTGAGAAAACAATCTAGTCTGTCATTTTGCATTATCTAGCTTGTTTGAGAACTTTATTGCAATGTGCACATTGCAAAAAAAAACACATGTGCATATGAATATAAACCCTATAGTTTGCAGTGATGTGCAGAGATTACCAGAGGCTTTTACCTGATTTATCAGATGGGAAGAACAATATTTCTGAGCTATTTTATTTTATTTTCAATTATACTTTAAGTTCTGAGACACATGTGCAGAAAGGGCAGGTCTGTTACATAGGTATACATGTGCCATGGTGGTTTGCTGCACCCATCAACCCAACATCTACATTAGGTATTTCTCCTAATGCTGTCCCTCCTCTAGGCCCCCACCTCTGACAGGCCATAGTATGTGATGTTCCCCTCCCTGTGTCCATGTGTTCTCATTGTTCAACTCCCACTTATGAGTGAGAACATGCAGTGTTTGGTTTTCAGTTCCTGTGTTAGTTCGCTGAGAATGATGGTTTCCAGCTTCATCCATGTCCCTGCAAAGCACATGAACTCATCCTTTTTCAATAGCTGGGTAGTATTCCATGGTGTATATGTGCCACATTTTCTTTCTCCAGTCTATCACTGACAGGCATTTGGGTTGGTTCCAAGGTTTTGCTATTGTGAAGAGTGCTGCA